CATCACTGACATAATTTCCAAAGATGTTTTCGAGGAAATGCTCAAGCATCGCAACGATCCTAAATGCGAGGGCGATGGGTTCTATTCCTATGATGCTTTCGTTGAAGTTGCTCGCTCTTTTGATGGCTTTGGTACAACCGGAGATGAGACTATTCGTAAAAGGGAGTTGGCAGCTTTCTTCGGCCAAACTTCTCACGAGACCCGCGGTTGGTTAACTTCAAAATTATTGCTAATTATTAACAATTTGAAAATTAATTAACTATGATATAAAATTCACTGTGCAGGAGTATGGGACGACGATGCACCTGATGATCCACATGCATGGGGATATTGTTACGTAAGAGAAGTTGATCCATCTGATTCCTATTGTTCTCATGATCATCCTGAATGGCCTTGCGATCCCGATCAAGAATATTACGGTCGAGGACCCATCCAACTCACTTAGTAATTATTACCCTCTATCTCTACTCAAAAGTTTAATTTTCAAACATCAATTAAAATTATACTAAATGTTGATGTCTCATATATCATGTTAGTAACTACAACTACGGACCAGCTGGTGAAGCATTGGACGTTGATTTGCTAAGCCATCCCGATTTGGTAGCCATCGATCCAATCATATCGTTCAAGACAGCCATTTGGTTTTGGATGACACCGCATGGAGACAAACCATCAATTCATGATGTTATTACCGATCAATGGCACCCATCAGATGATGATATAGACGCTGGAAGAGTTCCTGGCTATGGTCTCATCACCAACATCATCAATGGTGATCATGAATGTGGATTTCCTGGTCCCAATCCTAATGTCGAAGATAGAATTGAATTTTATAAAAGGTATTGTGACATATTGGATATCGAGTATGGGGAACACCTGGATTGTTATGATCAAGAACCTTTTAATTTGAGTGTAAAATTATCTTATCAAATGTAATAAAGACATTATATACTTCTATCTCCAACTATGAGAGGTAGATATATAATGTGTAATATTAGAGGTGTTTTGCTTTCTTGATCCATGTAAAGAAAAGCAAAACATTTGTTTTCATGTTTTATGTACGATGTAATAAAGAGGGCAACATAAATAAAAATTAACGTGTTTTACCCATGCTTTAATACAACGTGTCTTATATAAAACCAAAAAAAAAAAAAAAAACAATGCGTATATAAGAATATAATAATTGATAAATGATTTAATTTGAGTATTTATTATTATTTTGAATTTTAAAATTAACATTTTTATTTTTGAAATTTATAGCAGGTATCTATTTGTTCAGACATTTTTGGACTTTGAGATTTTAAAAATAATTCTAAAGAGTCTTTATTTATTATTTATTATTTTTTTGAAAGGTAAATAGTCTTTATTTGACTATTGTTAAAGTGACGTGGCATGCCACGGATCGCGAGCGTGGTGATCGGAGAGTTCGTTGGTGGTTTTCTACAGAAAATTGCACAAGGAGAAGATAATAAGTAAAATACGGTCAGCAATCCATTAAAATTGAATCGTTTAGAATAATTTCTCAAATTTTATCTTGAATACGAAATAGACACCTACAACAAATATTAAAAACTAAAAGTGTTTATTTTGAAATTTTAGATTTGAGGATTGTGGGATTAAAATTTACTACTCATATAACTAAAAATGTGTGGCTTTGTTTCTATAATAAAAGCTTTTAAAATTTTATGTTGCATCATCTAATCAACTAAAATTATCATGCACACATTTGTTAAATGTACTATCTTTGAAAAAAAATTTAGATGATTTTATTCTTTTGTTAAATTTTAAATTTATGAGTAGTAGATTAATTAAGAGTGTATTTGGAAGTAATGGTAAAATTAGTAATTTTGAAAAAAAAAAGATTCAAGTATAATTGACTTTCCAAAATCATCGTCCAAGTAATTCTTTAAAAATCAATTAAAAGTGATTCTTTTTAAACTTCCTTAAAATCAATTTTCTAATTTGCCAAATATGATCCGTAGAAATGGGAGTGATTTTGACAATCCAAACGCGTCCTAATTAATTATTAACAATAATAATACGCCATAGAAGGTAAAAAGATGGACTACGAAAAGTTGCATTGTTTTATTTTCCAAAAATTTAAAGATATTCTCCTTTAATTTTAGTTAATATTATAATTTCATAAGTTACCAATTGAAAAAAAAGCCTTTTTTACTACCATGTATATCTACCAACCTTTGAAGTTCACTTTTCTTTTATTTTTAGTCCCTCTCAATTTGTTTCCCTAAAAAAAAATCTTTTTAATCTTAAAATTAGAGTAGTTTAAGACATATATGATACGTTCAAGTTGTATGAGATTAATTAAATCTCCATCTCAAATTTAGCTTGAGATGTTACAATTCTACTTTGATACTGTTCAACCGAATAACTATGTTTCTTTTCGAACTATAAGTGTAACAAATCTTATTTTAAAGAAATAATGTGTGTATATATATATCTCTAGACTTTTTTTTTGTTGTTGTTCTTTTAATTAACATTAATTTTTTTTTTTACTTCAAATATTTGTACATGCTTTGAATTTGTCAACTCAACGTGGCCTAGCTAGGTTATAAGAAAATTTGCATGTTTTTTAAAACTATTTTCTTCTATTTTTCAATTAATAATAATATAAAAATATTATCGTAAATGTTTTTAAAGTAAGTTTAAGTTTAATGAAATATTTCAATTTTTTTTATTATTAGAGCCTATTAAAATTTTTAATAAATCCCATAAAATTTATAATATTATTATAGTTTTATTTGAATGAAAAATTTTAATATAACTGTTAGAATAGTCTCAAGCTCTCATCTCACGACATCATCAACATTGAAGTTGAATTTGACTATTGTCTATGAAAAGTATTTCGACATATTGAACACTTAAGTACCAATCTTGATTGTGGCGATTAAAAGCCTTAATTTTAATTTGAATGACAAATTATTTTATAATGAAATGTAAAAATATTATATTTCAGTCTCCAAATCACAAGAGACAGACGTATAATATTGCTAAACGAGACTATATTATATTGGTTAAAACTCTTATCTTTAATTAAAATATTGTGAGTTGGAATCCTCGCTTCAGATGTCGTATCGTTATATATGAAAAAGAAAAGTCTGATAATGTGTAAACATTATTTTGCTACGTAATAAAAAAAGGCAACATCTATATTTATGTTGTTTCTCAATGATTAGCTAGATTCTTTGGGCCTTAATGATATGAACACTATTTCGAACGTGGCCCAAATGGCCTCTCCTTGTGCCATTTTTCCTTCAAAAAAACAAAAAACAAAAAGATCCAAGGTTTATTTTCCCAAAAATTGATAAGAATCACAAATCTTTTCCTCCTCATCTTTTAAATTTTATATCTCATTATTTCGTTGTTCCTCATTATTTTTATTTGTTTGCATAATTTATAATTCATTAACTTTATATAATTTGTAATTCTTCCGTTATTTTAATAATATTTCTAATTCTTTTGTTATTTTTATTTTTAGAAGATATTTTTATCTAACTCGCAATTCTTATTCTTCTTTTTTTATTTTATATAACTTGTGAAGTTTATCCCAAATAGATTTGAGGTACTTTAAATTTAAAATTCTATTTATATAAATATGTTAACATTTTGAAAAAGAAAAAAAAATCATATTATTCGTGATTCAATGCGAAAACTTTATTTATATAAACATGTCCATTTTTTAAAATTCATTTTAATTTATACATATATATTTGTCATCTATGTTTTATTTTCCTTTTTTAATCTAAACATATAAGTAATATTTTTTTTTTATAACTTATCATCCCGGTATATTTTTTTCTCTCCATAAATCATAAAAAAAATTCAATTCAATTAACATTGTTTTTGTTGGATCGGTATGACAACTCTAGAGGGGTGCATAGAGTTAATCATAATTTATAAAATTTTTAATACAGTGGGTCCAATTTAAACAAATAAGTAAACTCTTTGTGAACACGTAATTTTAACACAAAAATTAATCAATAAATTAAATATAACATTTCAAACACCAAAATTAATTTCGATGAAAATACAATAACAAATCCTAGCAATTAATTTCATGCATTTATAATAAAGAAAATTAATTGCAAAAATTAAATAGAAAAGGGTTGGAGAAATTTATAGTGGTTCGGCAACAATCGACTTAGTCCACTTCCCAAGCTCCTCTTCGGTGTTCAATTGAAAGAACTTGACTCTTTTCACGACTTAGAATCGTTCTTTTTACGGGAGTAAGAACGAATCTGATCCTTTCCACGGTTCAAGATCAAACCATTACGACACTTTTTTTCAGGCTCAAGAGCAACCTTTACAATAAAATTAGAGATTTGATGAACAATCTCACAAACTCTCGAGTAAATATACAAGTTTTCGCTCATAAATTTGGAAGAAAAGTTCTTACAAGAGATAATGTACTGTCTTCGGATGACTGTTTTAGAAACTTATTTACACAAATATCTAAATTTTTCTAATTTTACATTTTTAGATTTCTGCAGGTAGGATTTTATTTTAATTCCGATTGTACCTTATTTATTGCATTTACATTTATTATAGTTATTTGTTTTTTTTGAAATATAAAAGATTTAATTCCATAAATTATTATCATTATCCTTTAATTATTTTTGGCCCATACTAATAATCCCTTAATTTACTTCTTTAAAACCTTAATTTACTCCTACATTGGTGTTCAATCTTCAAAGACAATTCAAAATCATATAAACATAAAGTCTCAATAAACATATATTCGCATATTCAAAAAATATATTCAAAATCACAGTATATATCCACTTATATATATGCATATATACATTCAAAATCACTATAGTATATATCTGCATATCCGCATATGTACAAGCTGAGTTATAAGATATATCCACTCGTATATCCGGATATCCGGATATCCGCATATATACAAGTTGAGTTATAAGATATATCCTAATCAAATCACTATACTATATATCCTCACATATATAATATTTCACACCAAATCAGAAATTGAAATCATCCGTTGGAATGCAAACTTTTCAATCTGGAGATGAACTGCTCTGGCGACTGAGAAAAATGGAGGCGGCCAGAGATGAAAGCAGGAAAACGTCGGTCGGAGACGAAAGCAGGCAGAAACACCCGGAGAATAAGAACCGACGGAAATCTCTTTTCGAAGACGGCCGGAGATGAAATGCTCTTGCGACAAAGAAAAGCGAAGTTGGCTGGAGAGAAAGGTAGACGGTCGGAGAAGAGGAACAGATGATCAAAGTAGAGGAACGAAGGGTCAAAGGAAGGAAAACCAACAGTCGGAGGAAGAAAAGAAAAATGAGGAAGAAGAAATGGTGGATTTAAAAAATGGATAGGTTTTTGGAATTTTGGAATTTTTTAATTTTGGAAAGTATTATTAGCACATTTTAAGGGATTTGACCTCCCAATTTACCAATTATAAATTTTAATAATTATTTAATATTAAGATGGATTCTAAGGATATACTAGTCATTTGTGTTATTGGTACCATCTAATTAAGATTGTTTCATGAAGTGTAAATTCTATACTTTTCCCTCCTTTTACCTGATTATGATTTGTAAATAGACTATTAATCCCTTCTTACAAATAAAAGATCTCAAATAACTAAGAAAAAATGAAATTGAATAGTCAAGAGACTCTCAAATTAAATCACTATTAAAGAAGTTTTTTTCAGAGAACGAGAGATTTAAATATAGAAAGAAAAATTAGAAAAGAATTTGAAATCCAGATTAAATTCGTAAATTACATCTCAAATTACATCTCAAATGAGTAGAGATAAAATGTTGGGATTTAATTTGAAAAATAATAATAATAAAACTTTAAAACTTCTTTTTTTTTTCTTTCTTACACCAATCAAATAAGATCATTAAATACGATTTGACAGATTTTTTTCTTTTTCTTAATTCAAGTTCATGAATCATTAAATATGATCAACCCTAAGTTTTTTTTAATTTCTTTTATTTATTTATTTATTTCTTTTTTTAATTACACTAATTTTCAATAGATGTTTTAGTTGTTTGGGCTGCCCTATCAAGTACATTTTTTCTTTCCAATTTTTTTCGATCATAATTTTTTCGTTTAAATTCTGATTTAAGTAATTCAAAAGTTGTTGGAATAGTTAGAACTAACTCTAAACACTTTAAAATATTAAAAATGTCGGTAAAATTAATCAATTTGAACATAGTTCAGTAAATAAGACATTTCTTAGAAAAAAAAAAAGCTAACTAATAAACATTTGATGAGTTTATTGAAACCTAAAACACTAATAACACTGCATCACAATAATTTAACTATCTTTTGTAATTTTTACAGTTAAAAAACATCAATTTCTAAAACTAGTAATTTGTAAGTTTTATTTTTTTATTTTAAAAATTAAGCTTACAGAATGGGATATTTACATAACTATACTCTGGTCTGGGCCGAACCCACGGCTGGCTTCTAAAAGATGACACTAATTTCTGTTTACTCCAATTATTTTGCCCTTTTGCTTTTTCTTTTTCTTTGGTTTTTAATCTTAATTAATACAGCAAAAGTTATTCAAGCCACCAACCAATAAAAAATTTAAAAAAAAAAAAAAACCCCT